TCGGCTGGTGTTTATAAACAACAATGCCATACAATGGTGAATTAGTTATATTGTAGGACAAGCGTTCGGGCAGCACATTCGTACGCAATGATAAATGCTCCAACTTCATTAGGGTTGTTGTGGCGCCTTGTGGCACTTGCACGGGATACTGAAAATCGGCCGGCAGCAAGCTGATGGGTGCAATTTTAATTGTGAATACCTCATAGGCTGGATTAAATTGTCCATCGGAGACGGTAAAACAGAACGTGGTGGACTGTGGTGTACCAAAGTGTACGAACACAATGCGCCCATCATTGATGTCTGCTTGCGTAAACTGATTCGAATAGGCGAGCAGATCCTCAGCGTCTCCTTCAAGGTTTATTTTCCTCAGCACTCCAAGTGTGGGACCGCTCATCACGTCGTAGACAATTTGATCGGGTGGTGTATCCTTGTCTTCGGTAAGTAGCACATTGCGCGTAATCGTTTGATTTTCACCCTCCACCACGGTCATTTGCGGGAAATGTGTAACAAGCGTGAATGGCTGATCGTTGATCGGCTTGATCGAGACGGGCACCGTGAGATTGCAGAGGAAAATGTTACTGTAATGGAGAATGGAAGGTAAGAATAAGTGTTACTGAGAAATCAAAATGAAGTGCAATCAATTTTAAATATACAGAAACACAACTCCATATAAGGTTAATTGGTATGACTTAGTAAGTAATAATTTGATACATTTAAACATAAAGCATGAAGCAAGTTTCCAACAGAAAGCATTGGTAGGTTAAGAAATCTGCTCCAGAGGAGCACACTTGTCCATCTGTGATACCAATACGAAAGGTAATTGCTAAGATATAGCAACTCTGGGTTCCAAGAACAAAAATCTCCCGAGCCGCAGATATGGACCCCGGTGAGTTCCACCTAACTGATTAGAAAGTGTGTTTAGACCATGGTGTTGCAAAATGTGAGCATTATAAGAGGAAGTGCTGAAATTATTATATCGTGTCGACGTCAAAGCAGATGCGTTAGTATGGATAAGCTGTCATATTTGCTCTCACGGCGTAAAGTCCAATCGAACATTGTCTTCTCCACCAGAGTTGAAATTTCGAGAGCCTAGCAAATCCCTTACCCCTCCAGACCACTTTGCGGCAGAAAGTAGCACGATTCAAATACACTCCCATTCGCTCTTTTCTTAGTTCAACGGACTTACCGGGCGTACAGCCATCTTATCTGTAATATCACTGTGCCTTGGATCCCATATGCATAGGTCTCATTATGAAATATTCACGCATGGGCCTTCGATTCTACAAGGTGGTAGAAGATGTTTCTAAGTACGTTATTTAATTCATTGCTACTTATTTATGCTACAAAATTGTCCTGTGCAAATCGGAAGCTGGAATATTTCAGTGAAAGACCTCTCATTTAGTTCCTTAAGGATCGGTGCTGGGCCTCCGCTGTACTATAGTGCATGTAGCCAACGATTCAAAAATAATTGGGCTCAGGGATGATATAGCTATAGATCTGCAGCTTATCACTGTCTGCATTATGACGAGCATTCTCTCAACGAAATAGCCGCCGGTAGTACTGGGTGTTTTTCGGTGTTTTACTGTGGGAGGTTCAGTCGGACACCTCGCAAGGTGAGGTCCTCTCACATCTACTCTTGATAGTGGTCGAAAACTGTTTACCAGGGGAGCTGCAAAAGAAGGTCCACCGGATGATTACCTACACAGACGGCTTGGTCCTTTTGGTAAAGGGTAGATTTCGGTACACCCTGTATGACATGACTCAAGGTTCCCTAAGCCTTCCTTTCTAAGGATAACGGCGTCTTCCCCGTCAATTCTAGTACACTACACCCAACGCAACTCCTTCCTCGATGGAAGGTGTTCGCCTGTAGCTTACCGATAGGGTCAAGAACTCGGCCTTGATCCCAGATGGGAAGCTGTCATGGAAACCTAAAAGTGAGGAAAGGTTAGGGAAAGTATAAGATATGGCATCCCCTGCCCAATCCTCCCGCCTCTATGAATCCACATTTAATCCCATAATGATTTATTGAGCTCTTATCTTGTGGAATACGATAGAGAAATCTACCAAAGTTCCATAACTGGAGCGTACAGGGCGCCTTAGTTAATATTATTGGACCAGTCCCACTCAGCCGCATAACGCCCTACTCCGCACAAAGTTATGTCAACATAGCTAATTGACCTACCTAGCCCAGCGTCTGGAATCTCTAATACTTGTGAAAGTTTCGATTTTAAACTTGGTTGTACGGATCACCACATCTTAAATGGCTTTTAGCTGCATTTCCGCTACACAAATTCCATCAAAGATTGATTAGGTGGGGTCGACGACGTTAAGGGAAGAGATTAGGAACTTCTAAGTATATGTGAAATCTCGATGAAAGAGTACATGGAGATTTCTTCTTTCTTGCGCTCTCCATTAATACCTTATTTCGGCTTCCAAACTTCTGTAGCATTTTTCAGGTAAGAGCAGTAGACACATTGATCAAAGGTAAGAAGGACCTGAGTAAGCGGGTAAGCATCTACTCTGATACCCAGCTGAAATCGGGGCACTAATGTGATTACCAGGCCACTAAGTAGGGACTTTAGGGCTATTAAGGGAGTAGTTCAAGTCTAGTTTGGGATCAGTACTTGTTCCGGACTCTTTTACGACTATTTTTTGACCATTTTGAAAATAGTTCTGGACCATTTCGAAACCAGTTCATGAACATTTTGGAATTTCTTTGGAATCATTTTGGGACTAGTACAGGACCGTTTTGGGACTATCTAAGGACTATTAAGGATGAGTTTGGTATTCCTACTAGATCATTTTGCGACTTATAAGGGACCATTTCTGGACCGTTTCAAGAATTGCTCAGGACTACGTGAAATCGGGATCATTTCAGAACAATTTCGGAGCTATTTCAGAGCAATTCGCGACTAGTTAGGTTCCACTTCAAGCCGAGTTCATTGCGGGACTCATCCAGGACCATTTCGGGAATATTTGAGGAACATTTTGGGATCGTTTCGGGACCTTTTCAAAACTTGTTCGAGATCCCCACGGGTTATGTTCATGACATTTTCAAAACCACTTCAGGACTTTTTTTGGTCTCTTTCGGGATCATTTCAGTGTAATGCGAAACTAAACACGAAATGTTGCTGAGATAGTTTTGAACTATTTCCGAAATAGTTATGAAAAATTCCTGCACTTTTCCCGACAAAATGAATAAAATGAAATGAAATTTATTTTTAATTTCTAACCAAACTGCTAATATAAATACGTAACTCAACCGCCTCTTGCTTTTCCGAGCCGTACATAGATTCTTGAAAATCGAATTCTACGCCTTTTTTATAAAACTCCCATACTAACTCACCCCTGTGCTAGATACTGCGCTAAGTACACCGACATCAAGATCGTATCCTCCAGCGTGTCCGAGTGATCGTGTATGTAGTAAACTTTCTTTGTCAAAAAGTCAGTGGGCTGAAACTTCTGCACCGCTTTGAACTCGTGTCCCAACCCAATATGGCCATGCATCGGTTTCTGCGTGGATTCAATATATAATTCTGGATTAATTATGCCGGCACGAGTCTTCAAATATTCCAAAATTTTCGAAAAATCCAATTTAATCGGCGCTGAACCACCTTCATCAACTTTCAACTTCGAAACAGGCAAAAAACGCAACAGACCACCAGACGACACAGATATTTCGACATTAAATCGTTGATCCAACAAGCGATCACTACGATCAGCAACCACATCAAAGTAGAAGGAGTCATTTATGCGAAATTCCATTATAACCGAGGTATGTTCGTAAAATATGCGACCATTGTCAATGTCATTCTGTGTGAAGCCAGCGACCTCCTTCGAATATCCATTATCCAGATACTCATTTACGATACGACCCAGACTGGGCGGCACTGTTACATTATAGTAAATGTCACGCCCCTCATCAGAGCAACGATAATACAAGTGATCACGTAGAATTTGTTTCTTCGTTAACGGAAAGACATGCAAATTTTCATTACGCTCTTCGATGATTTCCACAGGTCTTATGGCGATATTCAGCAGCTGATCGGTGGTGTTGAAAAGTCCATCTGTGACCATAAATGACATTTCGTTGCGACGCGAAGTAGAGTCGTGTATGAAGTAAATTTCCTCGTTATTAATTTGCGCTTGCGAAAAAGTGTCGATTTTCTGTTTTGGATCAGCGCGTTTTGCCAAATAACCGCCATAAATGTAATTCACAATGAAGGTAATGTTCTCCGCTGGCGTATCGTAGTCTTGAGCCACTATGAAGAGCAAGAAAGAAAATGTTTGTAAGAAATAAAATGTGAAGAATAGAAATAATGTAGCATAAGTAACTTACTGAGATCTGTGTACTTAATGATGTACTTGCCGCCACTCCACACTTGCAGTCCGGTATTTGTGACCACCATCGGCTGTTCGTCGTTAACCGGTATCACGGCGAATTCCAGCTCAAATGGCACACTCTCCTTGTTTCTTGCTGTCGCTATTACGGTCATGACATCGGTGGCATTCTCGTTGCCATTGTGTATATACTGTATGCCACCTTGATCCAATTGTTTTTGTGTAAAACGTTTTACCTTCGAATTGGCGGCCATAATGTAACCGGAAGTGGGCGCAATTGTAATGATATATTCTAGAATTTTGCCTCTATAGAACTCTGAGAAAGGTTGTATATCGGAGGAGCTGAGTTGGACCGTTTTGCCTGAGGAAGAAGGAAGAGAACGCCATAATTTTAATAAGTAAGGAAACTCTAACTATGTCGAGCACTTTCACTACCACTGCTTCGCTGTGAGGAAACACATTTTATAGTGATGGCCTACTACTTCAATAGCTGTCATGTGCATCTATTCCCATTACCCAAAGCCTGAACGGATTAGTGAGCATCTGTCTTTTGCGAGTGAGGGGAGGCAGACATCAAAGAGAGGAGGTATCAACATGAAGTGGAAAGAGAAGTTCCGACAGATAATGGCCGACAAGGTCACCTGGCGTCGATGTCCAGCAACTTCACAGGCTGTGCAGTGGAACCTCCCGGAAACGGCTAGGTCAGAAGGGAAGCAATAGTAGAGGATATATTAGATTGGCCATATATTCCAATAAGAACTACGTTAACAACTTGAGGGTATAAAATCCTACTCCATTTCGGATCATAGTAGGATACTGCGCCCCTCTGACTCCAAGATAGAGTTATCACATCCGGCTAGGATAATTAGGAATATAGATTGGCAAAGACATTTAAATAGCATCCTACCAAGGTTGAAATTAGATGAGTCATTGTCAATATTGCTCGGGAGCTTATCCAGTCTTGCGTGAAAAATTGGGGGTCTGAAGTTTGCCTAAGTTTCTTAAGGGACAGCAACTTAACCCAAACAAAATTACCCACCTTCAACTACGGACACCACATTCGTGTGCATATACAGCTTCTCCGGAATAATGACTATCTTCAGCATCAAATTTCGCAGCCACGTAATACCATTGGTAACGTCAAAGACAAAATAGTCCATGGATTGATTAACACCCGCTTGTATGTAGAACATTTTCTCTGTATTGATAGCCGACTGATCGAAGACCTTGCAATTGTATTCATCATCAAACGACATGGATTGCATCTCCAAATAGCCATGCAACGGCGAAGAGGTAACAAGAAATGTGATATCCCCTGGTGAAATATTGGGATGAACGACCTAGAGACGGAAAGCAAAAATTGCGTATAAGTTAAGAAAAAAAGAAATAGAATAGAGTGAACTGAAAGTACCTCCAGCACGTCGCGTGAGATAAGTACACTCGTAGACTCCTCCACATAAAGCGTTTGATTCTTCTTCACCTGCAGCGGTTCCCAGTAGGCGGAGGGATAAATGCGCATAATCACCTCGCCCTCAGCGGATATATTCTTGATATGGACGCGATAGCTGAAAGGTGGGAAAAATAGGTTTTCCATAGCTTTATAGGCAATATTCCCCAGCTCAAACTACTACTCACCGCACTTTGTCCATGGACGCGATTTCCGTATTCCAGTACACCAGCCGATCGCGTTCAATATCCAAGTGCGTGAAATTGGTCAGCGATGTCAGATTTGTTGCCTTACTCTGCGTGGATGTGGTATCATTGCCATTGGTACTTTTCGATCTACCCAAATACATGAGAATGCCATACGCTGGCGGCTTAATCACCTCATAGTTGATCTCATCTAGCTTCATGTCCAAATTTGTCTCCAGAACAAAGTCCTTGTTGCGCAAGATTACAAATTTTCCCTCCTGCACGACCGACGCATTTGTTGGCAGCATTGAAACGAAAGGATCAGAGGCGAGTATCTCCAGTAAGCCATTCACTTCATGCTGACGATCGGTTATAATAAATGAGGCGGTGCCCGCATCAGGGCCATTGTGTTGGAAAGCTATGCGCCTATTATTGATATCGTCCTGACTAAATGAATCAATGAAGCTACCCGACTTGTAGAAAGCGCCATTTGTGCTCGAAACGTGTATGAAGAGTATATCCGTGTGATTTGTATTCACATCGGCATCCAAGAACTGCAGCACATCCGGACTGAGCGTGCGATAGCCACCGCGCACCACATGGAAGATGCGCTCCGCCGTGCGGTAGGGTGCATTATCATTGATCAATTTGATGCGCACATCAATGGCAGCGACAAATTGCAAGTCCGTACCATCTGCGGAGAGTATGAGCAGATCAAAGGAGTCCTCTGTGGACTCGGTGTCATCGTGACAATAGTAGACATCATTTAGGAAGAGTTGCTCCAATGTGAATTCGGTTATTGGTATAACTTTAGCCGCCTGCTCATCGTATCGACAGAGTGTGCCATGTTTGGGCGCTTCCGTTACGGTGAATTGCAGACTCTCGTACAGGTTAAAGCGTATCTCGAAGTGATTCTTGGTAATGAGGGCGCGCTCACCTTCTTGTACGTGCAACATGTCACGTTTCTGATAGGTAAGTTTATCTGTGTTCGCCTCGAGTGGAGTGAATAGTATCTTCAGTCGACCGACAACATCATCACACTCCGCAACGGAAACAACGAACTCCAAGTAATCGATAAAACTGGAATAGCTGGTAAGATGAGTTTTGTAGCGTATGCGATTTTTATCAATATCTAGCTGTGTGAAAGAGTCCATTTCCTGGGAGTGGTGGTATAAAGAGTCAGAAATGAATAATGATACTGATACTTGAATTAATTGCACGACTTACTTTTGCAAATTTGCGGGAACCTTCAACGTAAATGGCACCATATTTTGTTGGCTTTAAGATTTTGTAAATAATATTTCGTGGAAACGTATCTATCGGTACCGTCTCATAGGTCAGCAAATCACTCGTGAACACGAACTCACGTGTGCCGTTGACTGCAATGGCCGATGGTTTAGCAGAATTGATGCGCAGGCGCGTAAAGGTAATGCGAAAGTCGAACGTTTGTGTAGTCACAAAGCCATAGGATGCAATGAACTGGAAGTATGGAAGGGAAACTTTTTTGTAAATAGAAATTAAAAAAAAAATGTGTTCTTGCCGATTTATTTCGAGTACCAAAGGAAGTAAGTCCCTAGTGTTTTTAGGAAAAGTTCTTAAAAAAAAGTTGCAGATGGTTGTACTTTCATAAACCTAGTAGGTTAATCCGAACTTGTTAGATTGCTTCAGCTGGGTTTTTATTTTCTAATTATTACAACTCATCCTTTTCTGTATGCTGTGAACGCATTTTGTTTTAAGGAAAGTGAGTCTTTGCAGCAGTTCTGTATCTTTTAGCGAATGTCTTTGCACAATGCTGTCTGCTGATGACTTGGCAATTGATTCCAAGGCTGTTGTTACAATAATCTTACCCTGTTTGTCTATTTAAACCGGCAGCATACGAATTCCCTGTAACTCCTACGATTGTTGAAGCCATCTTAATACCTGCTCTAACCTTAAAACTTACTGGAAGTTGATCTCATGTTACATGGGCCCAGTTACTTGCGCCTTATAGCGTTTCCTGAACAATGCCCCATTTGCCTTGGGCACCCATTCCACCTCTTTGGCTGGGTGCTCCCGACTTCTGCACGCCCCTTACACGGTTGGTTCAGTGTGTCACAATAATTGCACATCAGTCAAATTCAGTACCAACACTTCGTACATAGTATTGTGTTGTAAGAGTTGCAGTCGCATTAGGCATCCTCGGCACAGACATCATCTACCATAGGCACAGCGACAAGCATCTACCACCAGTGCGGCACTTACTTAAGCCCCGAATCACGTCAAGTTCCCGATCCGAATGACAGTATGTACTGGGATTCAACTGCAAGGACCGCCAAGATAAGATGTCAGTGATAACTGACTGTATGAGCAGCCATGAAGGGTGTTCCCTATCTCAGACTGATTCTTACTAATGATTCTTCTACCAAAGTTTTCATGTTCCGGTCAAAGCAGTTTTCAAAAAAGTCGCTTAAATGGTTAAAATAAATGTCTGAGCGAAATTAAGGGTTACGACATATACAGTAAAATTTCATTCGAAATATTTTCGTAGAACATTTTTTGACTCTTACTTCGTTTTGACCCTTACTTCAAGAAACCCCGCAACAAGCAAATTTGGAAGGTCGTTATAGGATGGATATATTCTAAAAAGAAAAAGTCTCTATAAAACTAAAACAGAAAATCTATGCCGAGTAGGAATAACAGCCAAACTCATTTTTTAAATTTTTTTGTAAAAAAAAAATTTCTTTATTGATTTTTTATTTAAGTTTTTTTAGAGACTTATACCCCGCTTTTTACGTACTACGTACTCACCTTAAACTCATCCTGCCATGGAAATTCGATAGCATGCACATATCGAATATGCCCAAGCAGCATTTGACTATCACGAAACCAATCGACATTCACCCAAGAAGAATCGACTTGTCGCAGCCTTTGTATAGCGCCATATTGAGGAGGCTTGACAATCTCATACCGAATATCGATATTTTCATCTGCCGTATTTGTGCCAACCGAGAGATTCGCCGGAGTGATGGGCAAAGCTGACTTGTGTATCATAATTAAGCCCGTGTTGTTGACCAAACGCAGTTCCAGTGGATGCACCGATACAGGCAGGTAAACAGTATCGCTCGTTTCGATGCCATCTGAGACATGCAACAATATTTGGTAGCTAAAGGCCTCAGTGGTTGTTGAGTTGTAAAGAAAGCCTACTTTGCCCAAATTGACATCCGCTTGCGAGAAAGTCATAGTGCCTAAGCCATTGACAAGGAAACGGCCAAAGGCTTCGGCGGGATTCGTGGAAGGCAGTATTGTATAGATTAAAGCGCTCGTCGGGCTATCGGGGTCATCAATATTGAACAAATCCACATCCAGTACACGCTCGATGCCTTCGATGACGCGCAAAATCTTGTTGATCGGTATCTGTAGCTGTGGCGGATCATTTATGGGCGTTACGTTGGCGTGCAAGAGAAAGCGATGTTTGCCGAGAATATTCTCTGGCACCTTGTGTATGTCACCATACACCTGCATATCTAGAGTGGCATGATCGTTGAAGTTCTCCATGCCATTGTGCGCATATTTCACTTTGTCTGTGGAGAGATCAACGAGGCTAAATGTGCGACACTGCACAAAATTATTTTTCTCCACTGAGAATTGCAGCAGTTGGCCATATTTGGGCTGCTGAACGACGTGGAACACAATGGAAGTATCGGTGAGGCTGGGATATTTACGCATATCAATAAGCACGTCAATGAAATGTGGCGACAAGAATACGATGCCGCCTTCGAGCAGTTGCATGGGTGAAACGTAGAGCAACTCCAACTCCGGACTCGTTTCGGTGAAGATCTGTGTGTCGGTGGGAAGGTGAGCTTTAGGTAAACTAATTTTTTTATATTACTCTTGCTTCGCTTACCTTAAATGGACCTTGATAGTCGGCCTTAATGCAATACGACTGATCGCAATAGCAGATGAATTCGTCCACGCCATACTGATTGCAGATGCCGCTCTTCAAGCATGGCTTATGCTCTACGCAAGGATATTTCCAAACACAATTAACGGACAGATGATGTGAGACCTTCATTTGTGGAAAGCCCAAGTCTTGATTATTCACCTGCAGACCACGCATGCAGCCTTTGAAGCTGAGATCGTTCACAAGCAATCCCTTATTTAGCAGACGCCTGCGCATATCCTCCTGCACACCACCAAAGAAGATGCTCTTCTCCAAGTTGATGGTGGCTTTGGTGTCATTGCCATGCGTGCCGCTGTAGGCGACATCGTCGAGTATCAGCTCAGCCATAGCGGCATTATAGCGCAGCACGATGCGATGCCACTTGCCATCCGCAACACTTTGATTGGGCGAGAGTTGCACGAGACTGCCTGCCTTGTTAAAGGTCAGCTTGACAGCTTCTTCTTCGATTTCCAAAAGCACAAAATCGTAGCCACCATTAAAGAAGAGCACGCCAGCCTCTTCCATGGTGCGAAACTGCGTTGCCAGGCTACCAAAAAAAAACAGACGCATATGGAATACTCGTAATGAAATATTTGCAAACAAATCCGAACTTCCACTTACGATTCGCCCGCTGCGTTAGACTCTTTTGACATCAACGCAAATGAGTCTTCATTGAGAAAGCTAATCGCATCCTTGATGTTGCCATCGAATTCATTACTGCACGACCAAGTCACACCAATGCTGGTTGTGTGGCCTGTGCGCTCCTTGGCGCGTTTTATGATATTGATGTTGTTGTAAAATACCTGCGGAATTGAAATAATCTATTAATCGCTTGGCTCTAGCTAGCCAACGTCGCTATGCACTCACATCTGATATGCAGCCGCGAAAGCCCACCACATCCGTCAAATACTCAGCGGGAAAGTCGCCCACACCGCCGAGGAATGTGCCAAAGTGTACATTCAACGCCGTCATTTCGGCCGGCAGCGTCTTGCGCACTATATTGCCATCCACCTGCAGCGTTATATTATTTTCGTAACGTTGCACGGCGACATCGTGCCACTCTAAATCGTTCAGATGCTGCTTCTTTGGCGAACGGAGCTGCAGAAATGGGTCTCATTTGAAATGGTAGGCACGGAAGGGCACAGCAAATTTATATGCGCTAATCAACTAGCCAACTTACCTGTATGACTTCGCGATCAATTTTATAGGTAAATGTAATGGCGGCGCCTTCTAGCCGCATGAGGCAGTAATCGGTGCGTCCGGCGGCGAGAAAGAGAAATGCATTCTCTTGTTGTGTACGAAATTTGACGCGAATGTTTGTGGACATTTTGGCCTCCTGCAGGGGCATCGTTATGTAGCCATCGCCAAAGAGTGAAACTGAAATGAGAAAAAGAAATAAAGGTCATTAAAAATGTGCGTACAAGTTAGTGCTGCTCAGAAAAGTTATGCTATACTGATTCATAGTATTAAACAATGGGGTTTTAACTCCAAATTCTATTCATTCAATTAGAATGGCTATAAGGAACTATAGTCTGTCCGATTGTAACTTATGCCTCCATAGTCTGGTGGCAACAAATTCTGCAAAAAACTGCCATTTCACTTGGTAACAAAC